CACTGGCCCAAAGGCCCCTTCTTCTAGGAAGTTCTCCAGCTGCTCTGGCACACCCTGATTCCCTCACTTTTCCTATACTGGGTCAGGCTTGTGTTTCTTTCCTACAGGACTTGGCCCTCCTTCAGGTGGACCTCATGTCTCCTCCAGCTACAGCGCCTGCCCCCTGAGGGCCGGCTTCTGCTCTGTTCACTGTGGTCCCCAGCCTCAGTGGGTGTCCTGCAGGCAGTACTGGAGCGTTACAGGTGAAGGAGGGAGTGGGAATTGCCTGTCCTTAGTAGGACTCCTGATGTCAGGAACCCCATCAAGCTCATCTTTCTAACCAGCCCCATCATGCGCCTGACCTCAGATTTGTCCAACATATAAATGACTGTTGATTTGAACCCATGTCTCCTGCTCAATTTACCAGGCTGGGAGGAAGCACTGAAGGTACTATGACACCATGATGCTCTCCATGCAGCCTCTCTCCAGCAGTCACCTGGACCTGTCACATGATGACTAAGGGCTGCAGCAGTCAGTCCCAGAAAAGCAGAGCTCCACATCTGCAGGGCTCCATTAGCCAAAGCAGTTGCAGGTGAGTCAGATGCACTCACCTCTCTTCTAGAGAAGGGAAGGAAGTAGTGGTGGTGCCAACACCTTTGAGAAAAGCAAGAAGTCATTGGGAGGGTTTGAACAGGGAAATGACATGATATGTCCTCTGCTTAACAAGTGTGTGGGACCCTGTTACCCCAGGCTCCTCCTTTTCGTTGTTTCCTCCTCCCCTTACCCTTCCTCTGACTGTAAAGGCCAGGATGGATCCCTGCCCATGGATGCTGCTGTCTGCCTGAACTCCACCCATCGGATGCAGAGCATGTGCTTGAGGGGAGACTCAGCAGGCCTCCCCGACTCCCTTCTGCAGAGCCTCTGTCCCAGCTTGCAGCCTCTGTCTCAGCCTGCAGGCTTTCAACTCTCCACAGCTGGGATGGTCTCTTGGGTGCAGAGAGATGGATGCATCCATTTCTCCAGGCATCCTGCCTAGATGTCTCGGCACTGGATGCAAAGTCCTGCTGGTTCATGGTGCTGGAGCTGTGGCTGGGAGGCAAAGAGGGGGTTTAGGAGGCCCCAGGTGACTGGGTTCTTTGAACTCCACTGGCTGGTTCTGCCCCGGGTGCCATTTCTACTGTGTTGTTTCCACCAGGAGAGGGTCCTCCTGGTAGGGTAATTCCCCCTCTTCCTCTTATGCACACCCATTTGGGACAATCAGAATAGCCAGGAATATTCACATCCAAGCACCCCAGGTTCCCGGTAATCAGCTGGGAAGATGGCACTCATGGGACTGGCCCTGAACTCATAGGACTGAGATGCACTTGAGGCCATCCCTTGAGGGGTGCGTGTGTACCAACCATCTAACAGCACAAGAAAGCACCAGTGCCTGGATCCATATGCTGTCACCTGACACTGACCATGGGGGCCCAGTGGCTCCAGCTGAGATCCAGGCAGCAAGAGGCCCACTCAGGCTGGCAGCACAAGCAAAGTGAGCTGGCAGCCAAAGAGCTCAGTCCCATAGGTGACCCCGACATTTGCCTCCAATTGCTGATTGTGTGGTCTTAGAAGGCAATGAAGCACAATGGTTCAAAGCTTGAGGTTTTTCTCGGTGAGTGGGCCTGGGTTCATATCTCACTTCTGTTACTTCCTTTCTGTTGACAACTTTTTTCTGTACGAGTCTTGGTTTTCTTATCTGTAGAATGGGTTTCCCTTCCTGGATTGTTGGAAGATGAGTGAAATAGGAGTGGTCATTCCCTGAGTGGTGGGAATTACCATTTCCTGGCTGTCTAGCATTGTTCCCAGTGGCATTAGCAGTAAGAGTTTGTCTTCCTTTCCTGTTCCCTGGGGCAGCTGTCCGAGGTATACGAACCTTTATGTGGCACCGTTATGTTCTTCCAGAAAACCTACAATGGGAAATAGTTTTAATGAAACATGTTTTCTTGGGGGATATCGGCATTGTCCCATCCAAAGACAACTGGAGCCTTGAGAGCTTTTTGATCCTGGCATCTCTAGGAATTTTTGAAATTCACATTCCTGTCATTACAGGGCCCAAATCATCAAAAGTTCCTTGTGGAGGAAACTGTAGCTTCCTGCGCGGCCCCGTCAGCATTCTACCACCAGGGGGCGCTGGCCAACTGGTCTCTGCCCCACTTCTCAAGGAGGCAAAGCGTGAGAAGGCAGGATTCAGATCCCCGGGAGAGAGGCAGGTTTGGCCCTTAGGCCAGGGGGTGTGGATCTTAAAGGTGAGGGACTTGGTAAGCTGGGAATGGCAGCAACAGGGACCCTTCTCACCTGGGCTGTTTACAGTTTTCTGTTTGTTCACACACTGTTCCACCTAATGACCAATGAACCGAGGCTTAGAGAGGTTGTGGGGACTGCAGAAAACCGTCCAGCTGGTGAGTGGCAAAGTGAAGGTATCTTTTAGGCTTGCCTGTCACCACCGTTAGGGCGCCGAATGTGGCCAGTGGGAGAGGTAGCAAAGTGAGGAGGAAGCCCTGCTCGACCTCTACCCATCATGGCTGACAGTTCCTACCCATTCCTTCCCTCTCACCCCCTGGGAAGTCAGTGCCTTCTCCCCTATTTGGGGAGAGTTAGGAAAGAGCTTGGGATCAGCTTGAGTGGAGCCCTTGGTACTCAATCAAGATGCAATTTTCCTGAATGCAGCCTGGACTCTTTAGGAAAAATATTCAGTCCTGCAAAAGCTTCTTACATGCCCCAAGGAGCCACGGGAACCCTAGTCTACAACTGCACCTGAGTCTGGTGCAGATCCTGGGATACAAGTGGGCTGGACAGCTGCACTGACCCAGGATGCCTCGGGCCACCATGCAGTGACTTTAGACACCCTGTGAGCCCTGTGTTCTCAGCCTCAGTTTAACCCTCATGTCAGCCCTATAGGGTGCGCTGCTATTGTCATTGTCTCCATCTTACAGAAAACACTGAGGTCTGGAAAGAAGGGGTTGACTTTCTTCTGCATTTCTGCCACTGATGGGCTGGATGAACAAGAAGTGGGGGAGCCGGGGTCTTTTCCTTTGTTTGGGACTGAGTCTCCAGACAGAGGTATGGAAAGGACATGATGACTGGTTGTCTTTTTTTTTTTCTTGGTACCGGGGATCAAACTTGGGACCTTACCCTTGTGAGGCTGGTGCTGGAGACTGGTTGTCTTTTTCAAAGGCTTCTGGGCACCAACTCATGGGGACAGGAAAGAAGGAAAGAGGCAGCATTTCCAGAACTCCCCTAGGGAGTCCAGCATGTACAGTGTGGGCAAGTTGCAACAATTCTCCCTGGCCAGCTCTAGAGGCAAGCAAAGGCTTACAGGAGGTGGCCATCAAGGAGCAGCTCATCAAAGGGGAGGTGCACATGCTCTGTGGAGGGGAGGGAAGATTCCTGGCCTGGGAGCAAGGCCAGGGCTCTGGGGTCCCAAGCTGGGGAAGCAGCAGGAGATGGAGGACTCCTCCTTGGGACACTGGTCTTCAGGACAGAGATGCGGTGCAGGAAGCTGTGGATATCCAGGGAAGAGGTTCCTCAAAGAGCACATGCTGGCACCTTCTGCATTTATGAGCCAAGAGAGTTCATGAATCGGAGTGTGTGTGTGTATTTGAAGGCTTATGTTAAAGGCCTGTTACATTTGTGATCTCCTTTTTCTTTCTCAACTACCCTGAGAAGTTGGCAGGGCAGGATTATCATCCTCAAAGACAGAAACAGCCCTCGAAGGATGAACTGCCTTGCTTGGTCATGGGGCTTGAGAGTTCAAAAGCCAAGGCCAATCTAGGCCCTGAGCCCCAGCTCCACGTTCCTGCCTTGGGATGTTCTGTCAGACCCTTGACACACAGCCCAGAACCCCATGTGCTGCAGGTTGCCCTGCACCTGTCTCCTCCAGACCCCTGGGCACTCTTGTCTGAGTGTGAGCCCTTGTATTTTCACCAGAGTTTAAGGCCAGGGTCAAGGGTTCCACCTTTTGAGCTGTTAGTGCCCAGTTGCTTCTAGAAGGCAGTGCCCAGGAGAAAGGATCAGCCCGGACCGAGGCCCTGTGCTGCCCTGCGGGGTGGCCATGGGGAGGAGGGCTCTGGCAAGGATGTACGGGCCTCTTTGTTTGACTTCTTTCCAGCATCTCCCATGAGGTGGCAGAGGACTGGCATCCAGAGAGTCAGCCTGTGCCCTTGCCAGCTAAGGAGCCCTTGCAAAGGCCTGAGTTCTTTGCACACAGATGCTCAGTTAATCTTCTAGGAGGAAGGTACCATGATGACCCTTGTCCTACAGGTGGGGAGAGGATGGCACAGCAAGAGTAAGTGGCTTCCCCAAGGTCACTCAGTAAGTGGCAGAGCTGGGGTTTGAACCCAGGAACTCTGCCTTAGGGAGCTGTTCTGCCTCAGTTATTAATAACAATCAGCACAGGTGCCTTTTAACTGGCACCTTCCAGTGTCTGGTGCTTTCAGTCCTCACAGCAAGGATGTGACAGGCAGATTCCCTCTCCACATTTCTCATTTCATAGGTGAGTAAATCCAAGCCTGGCAGGGCGCCTGGGGTGAGGTGACTTCAGGTTCTCACAGATGCTATTTGGGCAGGATTTGAAGCCTCCACTCTTCCCTGTCTGACTCCTCTGTCACCTGGAGTACTTTGCTTTTGAGCCTGTTTCCCCCTCCTCTAGCAAGCCGGAGAGAGGAGGCTGTTGCCTCGCTGAGAGTGTGAGGGTCGCTGGCAACTCTGGAGCCCTTCCTGTGCCCCTGGCCACTCTCCTGATGTCTCTCTACCTTGGCGAGTATGGGCAGGAGGCGGCCAAGGTGTTGGGCTTCTTGTCATCGAGTGGGGAGGGCCCCGCTGTGATTTGGGGAAGGGCAGAGGACCCAGCAGCCACGTGCAGGGAGCCTACTGTCCTTCGGGGAAAGCCAAGCGTCCTCGAACTGAGTAGGGGGCAGGGAGGGAGCGCGGGAGATGGCAGGGGGTGGGGGTAGGGGGAGGCTGGGAGCACGCGGACAAAGGAGGCGGCCGGCAGCCCAGCTGTTTTGAAAAATGCTTCCTGTTTCTTTAAAGGCGCTCGCAGCGGCTCGGGCGGCCGTGCTGGGGAGGCGGTGGCGGCGGGAGCTGCCTCCTCTCCGGGCGGCGGCGCTGACTGATCTCGCCAACCGGGCTTCTGTGTAAACTGAGGCTAAACAAACACAGATGGAGCGCAGCGGGCGTGCTGCAGAAATGCTGGCGAGGCGGCCGCGACTTCAGATGACATTCTGAGCGCTCGGGGACGCACAGCCCGCGGCTTCACGCGGAGCCCGGGGCGCAGCTGCCCGGGGCGAGGGGATCCGTGGGGAGGGAAAGGGCGAGCTGGGGACGCCATGAAGCCCCTCCCGGCTCTCGAGGACCGGTCGTGGAAGCCCGTGTGTGTGCAGGAGCTGCACAGCCTCAAGAAGCTCAGGCGGAAAGGCAAGGAGCCGGCGCGGCGCGCGAACGGCTATAAAACTTTCCGATTGGACTTGGAAGCGCCCGAACCCGGCGCCACCGCCACCGCCACCGCCACCGCCACCGCCACCAACGGGCTGCGGGACAGGACCCTGCGGCTGCAGCCGGCCCCGGCCCCAGTGCCAACCCTCTTGACGCCCGCAGCTCCCTCAGCGGACCCGGCTGGGGAGCGCAGGGGCTCCCGGGCACCCGAAGTCCCGGACGCGCGGCGACGCGGCTTCTCCCTGAGCGCAGTGGTGCCCGGACTCCCCACGCCGCCGCCGCCGCCGCCGCCCCCTCCAGCGCCCCCGGGCCCTGCTCCTGGGCGTCCGGAGACTCAGCCTTTTCGGGAGCCGGGCGTGCGTCCCCGCATCTTGCTGTGCGCACCGCCCGCGCGCCCCACGCCGTCCGCGCCTCCCGCACCCGCTGCGCCCTCGGAGTCCTCAGTGCGTCCTTCGCCCCCCACGCGCCCGGGGGAAAGTTCCTACTCATCAATTTCACACGTAATTTACAATAACCACCCGGATTCTTCGGCGTCGCCTAGGAGACGGCCGGGCGAAGCTACCGCCGCCTCGTCGGAGATCAAAGCCTTGCAACAGACCCGGAGGCTCCTGGCGAATGCCCGGGAGCGGACGCGCGTGCACACCATCAGCGCGGCCTTCGAGGCGCTCAGGAAGCAGGTACCGCGGGCGTCTCAGCACGGTAGCAAAAGGGATGGGTGGGTGCGGGGCCGGGGACCGTAGGCTGGATAAGGGGACGTTTAAGGGTCAAGCTGTCCACGCCTGTTCCAACCCGGAGCCCAGAAGAGTATGGGCAATCAGCGTCTGTACGCATCTTGGTTTGCTAAGTGTGGTCAGGGTTGGAGATCTCTGGCCCAGGCTGTCCCAGCTCCCGCCACCCGGTCCCAGGGAAGCCGGGTGTGCGTTCCTGACTTCAGCCCTCATAGTTCACTTTTAAGGCAGCGAGTATTTGTCTCCCGGAATTCCTGGGGCGCGGTAGGGAACAGAACGGGGAGGGGAGGATCTGTCTCGGGCAGGGGGAGGGGAGGACGACCCTTCTCTGGGCATTTGGCGTGGTTGGGGTCTTGGCCCTCTGTTGGTGGCAGCGAGGAGAGCACTGTAGAGGTGCAGATCTGTGGTTGCTGGTGATTAAGGGATAGTTGAGCCCCTTGGCTTGCCTCTGGGCTCTGGACCCCTAGCCTGGTGGCCCTGAGGACCAGGCACAGCCAGCGGCCCCTCTCCAAGGGCAGCTTCTGGAGTTGGGGGCGGGGGGGGGGAGCTCCCAGAAGATCCCTCCTCTCCTGGTGAGGCAGGAGCTCTTGGGGAACTGGCTGCTGGTGGTGGGGGTTTCCTTCCGGGGATCTTCAGAGCTATTTCGGGGATGAGTTGGGAGCTTCTCATTCTCGGGCTGGTGGGGCTGCCTTCCCCCAGACAGTGGCCCTGCTGGGGTGGTGGAAGAATACTTAAGAATTATTGATAACAGAAGAGGGCAGTTTACAATTTTACTTTAGACAAGATTGGCACTGCCCTGGGGTTCTGAGCTTTTCATTTGCTTAGAAAGAGGGGAGATCTAGAAAGGGGGTAGTAAGTCCCCCATCCAAATCGTGGAGAGGGCTGGCATGGCTGTGATGATTGATGGGTGAAGATTTTTGCTTGCTGTGCAGCTGACTTGCTGTTTGACTCCCAGAAAGTTACTCAACCCCTCTGGGCTTTAGCCAGCCACAGGATTTCAGAAAACACCATCTCCTTTTGGAATACACTCTCTTCCTCCTCCTGGGGGTTGGGAGAGTCAGTAGTGCTTGTAGGCATCTGGGCGAAGGACATTGAATACCTGGGGGAAAAGGGTCCTACAGCTTCTGAGCCAAAGTGCCTTGCTTGAGTTTGGGAGAGCTGTTCCATCAGTGAGATGGGGTGGGGGTCAGGCGGCTGTCACAGACCAGGCTGGGCCATTGCCTGCAGCTACAGCAGCTGGGCCCTGGGCAGGGGGCCCATTGGAGCCGTCAGTGCCACCCTGGGCTGACAGCTCTGTGCCTGAATGCCTGGGTAGGGCGGCAGCTCGTGAGGCGCCCTGCAGTCTGGTCCATGGGACAGAAGGATGACAGAAGGGCAGGGCGAGCTCTGGCCACCTGCTTACCTGGCCTCTGGGAAAGCCCCTCGATGAGGAGGCCCCGTGCCCACAGCCTCACAGCTGGTGAAAAGCAGGTAGGGCCAACAGCTGGGTCCTTGGATGGCCAGGGCAGCCCTTGCTGCCCTCCAGCTAGCTACCTCTTTGAGTACTGCCAGAGAGAATGTTGATGCTTTCTGAGTGTCTGCCATGTGTCATTTTTTCCCATGGCGTTTGCATCTCTCAATGGTAAATTCCCTCTTCTGGATCTCCACAACATCCTGTTAGGACTGGATGAACCCATTTCATAGGATGCAAAACTGAGGCCTAGAGAAGGAAGGGATCTGTCCAAGATGATCCAGTGGCCTAAGGACGATGACAGTGGCTTCTGGAATGCACCCTCTGACCAGATGCTTCCCATAATGGCATCTGGGTCAGTGCCCTGGGTGCCCTCCCAACCCTGACCTGGAATGTTTGCAGTATCCCAGAAAAGGTGGTGCTCTCTTCCAACTCTGAGACAACATTGTTAGTCTTGGTCTCCTTTGCTTCTGTTCCTCTGTGGAGAGTTCTCTATCAAAGGGTCAAGCTCGGTGTGCGTGAGCAGGAGCAAGCCCAGGCTCTCTCAGGGAGATAGTGTGTGTTCACCCACGTGTGGCTCCACACACCTATGTGCACACACGTTCCTTACACATGCCCAAGAACACCCAAACACTGGGCACCTCCTTCTGTTCCTCCCTCCTTGCTCCAATGATTGTTCTTTCCCTAGAAAGACTGTTTAGACTGAAGGGACACCAGCCTGTTGTCTGAGAAGGAAAGAATATAACCAGGGTTCTTTTGGCCACACCTACCAGGTCTCTACCACCATAGCACCCATCTGATAGTCCCTCCCAGGACCTCGGTCTCCCTCCTATAAAACACATCCAGGACCTGGGATGTAGCTCAGTGGCACCTCTCCTGCCTGGCAAGCGCAAGGTCCTGAGTTTGGTCCCCAGGACCCAAACAAACAAACAAACAAAACAAAATGCATCCACTACCCTGCCCGATCTAGACAAGGAGAAGCTCAGGCCCCGATGTGAGATGGACCAGACCCTCCAGAAGGAGGAAGGCAGGAGGCAGCTCTGTCCAAATAGGGCTGTAGCTAATATGGCTGGGGGCTCCTTTCCCTGAGCAGCTTCCTGGTATAGTAAAAAGAGCACTGGCTTGGGAGTCCAGAGGCTCGCTTTGAAACCTGTCTCTGTCGCAAGCTTCCTGTGTGGCTTTTCCTGTCTGGGCCTTAGTTGCTAAAGTGGCGCTGACGCTTACTGTGCACACAGCTTTGGTGCAAAGAGTGAACGAAGTCGTGAAGGGGCAGTGGGAGGAATGAACATTTCTAAAGCATCAACAAGGTAAGGTTCTCAGGGCTGGGCAAGGCCCTGGGCAGATGCAGCCATCAGAATCTGTAGTCATTATAGCAGGAATTAGGATTGATCAGATACTTGCTTCAGACCAGGTGATGTACTAAGCATGCTGTGTCCACCAGTTCATATAATGAATGGTGTTGCTGTCTTTTTTTCCCCACTCCTGTGTCGCTTCACACATGGGGCCCTTAGGAGAGCTTGTGTGAGTTGGCTGAGGCCTCGCAGCCCTGTGTCACCATACGTGGCCTCACAGGTTCTGAGCTGCAAATCACTTGGGTGTGTCATTCTCCAGGTTCCAGTGTGGTGGTGCCTCAGTGGCCTGCAGACTGAGTGCTGTTGTCCCCAGAGCCTGGGTTGGATCAGGGTTAGTGAGTCACTCCAGGGCCCCGGCTCTCAGCAGCTGTGCTCCTCAACTGTCTGGGCCACGGATGCTGTCCCCTTCTAATACGTGGGTGCCTGCCAGACCCCTGTTTTGTCATATCCACTGTGCTCCAGACCAGGAGGGAGCAAGGGGGGGGGCGGTTGTGTGGCTGCAGGTTGGGGAGAGATGTCTGGGCTGGGGGCAGAGAGTGTGCAGGGCAGATGGTCAGGCTGCAGCACATGCCACTGGCCCAGCTGCACCAGAGCCCTCCCGGCTGCCTCATGTGAAGGCCATGTGTGCACAGCTGGGTTGGCCGTGCTCGGGCTGCTCCCTGCCAGGTGGGAGGGTCCAGGGAAAGGCTCGCCTTGCTGGGAGGGGGAGGGGAGGGCCCAAACTGGGGGCCTCGGTCTCCTGGCAGTAACTTGTGGCTCCTCAGCTGTGCCCACCCTTGGGCATCTGGCCTACCATGGATTTCCTGTGTCCCTCAGAGCCCCTCAGTGGCGATGGATGATTGGCAGTAGATAAGGGCAGCGAAGGACCTCACAGGCTGCCTCTAAAGGAAGTGGGGACATAGTAAATGGGCCCACATCATCTCCTCTTATGCCCCTGGACTCTTGTAGAGGTTCCATGCCCAGAGAACTCAGGGTGCTTCCAGAGGGGACAGGAATGGTGGCCCCAGCTCAGCACCTCCCTCACTTCCATATTCCCTGGGGTGAAAGAGGGACACAGGGGATCCACTGAAGTCTGTGAACATCCCCCTCAGGCTACGAGGGACAGGGCTGCTTGCACTAGGGACTCCACACAGGTAGGAGAGGCAAGGTGACAGAGGGCTGTTCCCTGACCCCATGTCACACTCACCATGGTGGCTACTTGGTGAGCCTTATTCCAAGGTGTCTGCCTGGGGCCTGTTTTGCCTATCTGTGTAGCTGCCTTTCCATTTTTACAGTAGAGAACACTTACAGAGAGGAGCCACAAGTTGCTCAAGGTTACAGTTACCAGAATCTGTCCCCAGGCCTGTCTGGCCCTGGGGCCGTGGCTCTTCACCATGGAGATCCAGGCTAGTGGCTGGGTCTTGTGGCTTTGTGGCTGCGTAGACCTTGATGGGGGCCCTGAAAAGCTTGGGCTGAGTGGCTTTGCCCTGAGAATGTGGTACTCACGGATGCTCACAAGACAATTAGAGAACAGTTTCAGACAGAATCCAGGGCCCTTGGAGCCCTGTGGGCCCAGGAATCTTGGTGGCTTCCAGGAGGGCATCTGGGATGGCACTGAAGAGGAGGCCAGGGTTGGTACAGAAGGGAGAGGTCTTTGAGGCCTCTTTCACATTCTCTGGAAGATACTAGGCTTTTTTTTTGATGGCACTTTTCCCCATTTGCCCACTGTGATCCTGTTTGGAGGCAGCAGATGTTCTGCTGCCCGTATTATTGGTGAGGAAACTGAATTCCTGTATGGTTAGGGTCCTGCCTAAGGCCAGGGGTAGAGCCAGACCCTCATGCTGCCAGCCAGCACTCTTTCTGCTTTTTCCTGCTTGCTAGAGCCAGGAGAGAGTCCAGCTTAGCAGGTGGGGTGGGATAGTCTTGGGGGACATGTGGACCTTCTGAAAATGCCCAGACCTGCTCCTCTGAAGTTTAAATATCCTGTGGGATGAGCACAAACATATCCTGCAGTCCGAGGGTTGGATGTGGAAGCCAGGTGGCCCTGCCTCCTCCTTGTGCCAGGGCCCTCTGACTGGGGTGAGATGACAGCCCTGGGTCCTCTGCAGGCTGTGGGGTGGGTGGGGATGCTGGACCTCCCTGTGGATGCTCAGAGAGATCGTGTACACAGTCGGGTCCCCTGGGGTCATCAGCCCAGAACACTCCACCCCCAGCTCCCATTGTGGGCCACCCCGCTTTAGGCTACAGCTGCTCCACTGAGTCCCCAGGCAGTTTCTGCTGGCTAAATGGAGAGAGCCCTGCTAAGCCATGAGGTCCAAACCAGCTGAGACTAGGGAATTCCAACATCCCTGAGGGTCAAGAGCTTCTCCATAAAGTGCAAGTGATCATTTCTACCTCAATAGGCTGCTTAAGGATGAATATTAGCAGTATGTTTGAAACCGCACCCTCTGCCCGGGCTGCGTACTAGGGGGCCTGGACCCACAGCCAGGGGGCATCTCTGTTGCATGGACACTGGTGTGGCCTCTGGATGCAGCCCCTGCAGCTCAAGGAGATATACAGATATTGTTGTCCCCACCCCTCCAGAGGAGGAAACAGGCTCAGAAAGGTGAAGGCATTTGTCCCATACCTGGGCACTAGGAAGTGCCTGGAATTCAGAGCAGCCCTTCCTGCCTCCCCTCACCTTCCAGAAGCAGAACGAGTCAGTAGACCCTCATGGATTTTTTGTTTTTTGGGTTTTTTTGGTACCAGGGATGGAACTCAGGATCTTGTGCTTGTGAGGCAGGCAGCAGAACTACTGAGCTAAATTCCCAGCCCTGTGGACCCTCATGTTGCAGGGCAGCCCTGGCCAGGTGCCTCTGAGCTGGGCTATGGGGAGCTGGGGGCTGCATTCTGGGGCACAAGTACCAGAAGGACCTGGAGTGGCCCAGGTGAGCTGAGGAGCCAGCCCCTGGGGACAGGGAAGGAGAGATAAGCTGCCCAAAAGATGCCCTTATTGTCTCCATATGTGGTAGTGGGAGCCAGAGAGCCCTGTGGCACATGTCTTCTTGGTGTGCCAGTCAGATGAGCTTCTGGCTCCAGCCAGGTATCCATGGAGCAATCCAGGACCCAATATGTCACCTGTTTCCTCCTGTGAAGATGGGACATTCATCTTTATCTGGAGGAGGTTTTAAGTGGGATAATACCACCTGTGAGCAACTACCATGGTGCCAGAGAGACAGGCGCTCAATCGATGCTTTTCTTCTGCTTAGACCAGGAACTTGGCAGCAGCATCAGGACAGAGTGACAAATCTGGGACAGAGCTGGCCCGGAACTTGGCATAAGGCTCGTGGGTCAGCCTTGGCCTCACCTGTTGCTCTGCCTTCGGGCAGTGACCCTGGGTTACACACATAGAGATCCAAGCTCCCTCCCAGAGCCCAGGTGTTCAGGGCCCAGGCACACCAGGGCTGGCTGTTTGAGGAAGACCCCCAGAATGACCTCTGAGTGACAACAGCACTGTGTGGTGCCCCGTCTCCACCCCACCCCCAAAGGCAGGCGTTGCCTCCCTTGGGTGAGGCACAGGCAGAAGTGCTGGGCCAGTCCCTGAGACCCCTTCCCTGCCCCAGGACTGCCAGATCTTGTTTATTTGTTCAGGCTGATAAAGCAGGATTTTCTGGACTCTGGCTAGGAGCAGGCAAAGCGTACTGTTCTGCCAGATTTTCTTGGATGGATTTGGAGCGGCAGCCAGGCCTGGGAGGGCGGATGCAGGACCCCTGTCTCTCTCTCTGTCGCTTCCCTCTCTACCTCATGTTTCCTAGTCTCAGAGTCCCCGCTGGGTGCAGGGTAGCAGGCACTGTGTCCTGGCTGCAGACCTCCCGCTTCTCACCCCTCTCTGGAGCCACTCTTTGGGGCCTTCTGCTATATCCACAGTCACAGTTTTGCTGACTTTTACCAGCCATGCTCTTCTATGCAATAGGACAAAGAAACTGAGGCTCAGGAAGGTTTGGCCACTTGCCCAGGGTCTTACAGCTCAGCGGAGCTGGAGCCAGGAGTTGAACCTGGGTGACAGAAAGGCATGTGTACTTTGAATCCTCAGAGAGATGAGAGATTTTTGAACCTGGCTCAAAACATCCTGGAGTCACCTGGTGACTGGAAGGAGATCACCCGTATGTTCAGTCATTTCCTCATCCAACCCATCCTTTCCAGGGCCTGCTGTGTTGAGCTGTGAGCTTCCCAGCTCACAGGGACACTGACCACCAAAGGAGCCCCAGGAATGGGGATAGGGCAGAGGGCGCCATCAGAGCACCATTAAGGGCAGGCATAAAGATGACAGTTTGGTGTAGGGCAGGCCTGGGGAGGTCAGCAGCAGTCTTAGAGAGAAAATCTTCTCTAGTTGGGAACGACTGGCCTTGAAGAGTGGCTGGAGTATGTGGTACCCCCTAAATACTCGTGTGGGTATGCCATGTGGTTCTCACTCTCGGGGCATACAGTTTAGTCAGAGATGTGTATGCTGCATGTAGATCCCAAGAGCCTCAGAGAAGGGGAAGCCAGAGCCTCGGTTTCGGCGGTGCGGGGACAACGTTGGCCACTGTGTTGAACAGCGCACCAGAGAGACGGGAGGTCCATGGATTAGTGCTGGTTGGATAGATTCTGAGATGTTTCTATGTCACAACACCACTCTGTGTTCAAGTGTGCTGCAGTCTTCCTGACTCTCTGTACCGCAGCACACATGTGGTGGTGGAGAGTTTGGAAATGAGAGGCCCGTCTCTTCCCTGTGTAAATCCCTCTGCAGTTAGTGAATGGTTAGTTGGTGCTGAATGACTGGCAAATGTGTCGAGTCTGGTTGGGCCTGTTGGTATTTATTATGCACCTGCCGTATGCCATACCTAGCAGCAAGCTGGTGGCTATCTCTTAGGACATTATGATTTCGCTCTAGAGTTGAACTTCTTTGAAGGCAGGAGTCAAGTTTTTAATTTTTGGATCCCCAAGCGCTCAGCAAAATAAGTGCCACTGAATGAATGAATGGAACATTAGAGCTAAAAAAATAATCCGTTCTCTTAGAGAGACCTTCTCAGGGAGGGAGGAGGACAGAGCTCCGTCAGGGTGGAAATGGACGGTGCTTCGATTCAGGTTGACTCTCAGGATGAGCTGAGCCTTATTGTCTTCCCCTGCAAAATGTGGATATGGATACATCCCCAAGTGTGTGTGGATGAGCTATGTGTGTGAACACCAGGTGCTTAGCACAGATCATAAAACCAGAGCAGAGGGTCCAGATACTCCTCAGGCAGGTACCCCGGCCGAGGTGGGTGTGGGGAGCACATGCAGCCCCTCTGACTCTGTCTCCCTGCCGCCCCTAGGTGCCGTGCTACTCATATGGGCAGAAGCTGTCCAAACTGGCTATCCTGAGGATTGCTTGTAACTACATCCTGTCCCTGGCAAGGCTGGCTGACCTTGACTACAGCGCCGACCACAGCAACCTCAGCTTCTCCGAATGCGTGCAGCGTTGCACTCGCACCCTGCAGGCCGAGGGACGTGCCAAGAAGCGCAAGGTAAGCACCAGTGCTCGGGCAACCACCTCTGGGAGTACACAGGAGGCAGGAACAGGACTTTAGGAACACACCACATGTGCCCAGGACTGCCACAGAGCCAGAGAGATCAACGTCTTGGAATTTTCTGAGAGTCCCCTGGGATCCTGGGTGGGACACTGCCCTGGTAATGGAGCTGCTGGGTGACTTGGGACAGTCACCCAGTGTCTGTGGGGCTGGGTTTGCTCTTCACTTAGAGGAGGAGGATTTTTTTTTTATCCCAGAAGCCCTTTCTGATCTTATGTGTTCTGATGCTGAGTTCCCCACATGTCCCCTGCTAGATGTCGCATCAGGGTGAGACTCCCTTGAGCAGGGTAACAGCCCAGGAGGAGCCTCAGCAGGTTCTGGGGATGGGCTTAAGCCTATGGATTATACGAGGCTGTGCGTTCATTTGCATGCTTGTCATTGATTCATTCACTGATTCATTCATTCATTCATTTTAGAGAGATTTACTGAGCCCCAACTGTCAGCTGAGAAAGCTGGGCAGGGGCATAAAGATGACAGCAGCATGGGCCTGGTCTCCATGCAGCCCACAGGATGATCAGAAAGACCCTCCCACAAGTGGATAAGGGGCTGACAGTGTGGCCCGGGACAGGGAAGGTCAGGTAGAGGAGGGAGAGAGGAACTCTCCTGCCCAAGGGAGCTCTAGAGGACATCTTAATGGAAAATGGTGCTTGAGCTGGGACAGGCAGAACAACTAGGAGGCCACCAGGCAGACAAAGCAGGGAACAGCATCTGAGGCAGAGGGAACAGCCTGTATAAAGCCTAGTGTGTTTGGGGAAATCATTGCAGGAGGACTGGGGTTGCACATGGCCATTGTTTGTTAGATGACAGTGCTTTGGGCATTTCCAGTCAGGGGTCAGTGCTGAGCAAAGATGATGGCAGCTGTCTGGGTCTCTGGTCCCCTGTGGCTGGAGGGAGAAAGGGCTGGAGTGGGCCCAGTCTGTCAGTAAGATGTCACTACGGTCCTTTCTAGCCTGCCCCTCCCCCAGGCCCCTCTGTGGATCCCCAGGCTTCTGGGCCCCCAGCCGGCCTCCGCCCTGAATGGACTCCAGGCCCCTTCTCAGGGCTGGCCACCGCCTCTGCCGTAATTGTAGGCTGCATTCCTGGGGGTGATTTCACGTGGACTAATTAGAAGAAATCCTCATCAAGTGGGTGAGAGGAAGCTCTGGGCAGCTTTCCTCAGGAGAGTGATGCGGGTAAATGAAGGGAGAGATTGATGGCTCCCCGCCATGCTCCATGACAAAGGAGGTTTGTAAACTCTCTGTGAACTCCTTGGCATCCAGCAGCCGTCCTCCGCGGGAGGCGTGGGCCGGCGCGCCGGTGTGGGCAGGCGCAGTGCGGCCTGGCGCAGTGCGGCCCCTCTCCCGGCGCCCCCTCTCCACCCACCAGAGGTTGCGTGTCCCGCCCTCCCTCCACGGGCGGCTGGATGGGAGCTGACAGCGCCGTGGACAGAGGGGAGGCTGGGTGCCAGGCCCACCAGCCGGGAGGTGAGGGAGGAAGTGAGGATGCCCTGCAGAGCTGCCTCTGAAATCACCTCGAATCTAAGAAACCTTAGAGATGCTGCCTTGTACAGATGGGGAGAGGAGGCGGCAGGTTGTGGTTAAGGACCTCCTGAGAGCACCGGTGGGCAGGTGTCTGGCAGCAAGGGGGCACCCAGGGTGCCCTTGCCTCCTGCTGCCTCCTGCTCAGAGGGTAGTGACCCCAGATGCTTGCATCCTAAACTCAAACTGCCTTCCCGGGGCCTTTGGGGTGGAGATGGGAATCTAGGCGGAAATGTGTCTCTTCCCCTCGAGTGCCCCCTGGCCCTCTTCTTCCTACCCCATCCCTGCCCACCACACCTGGTTTGGGGACTGGAGATGAACTGAGTCTGGGGGTCTTTCCTATCTCCTGGCCTGTCTGGAGGTCACCGAGCAGGGACTGGGAAGTGGGGTCCCCCTGTCTTTGCCCTAAGGACCCCCTTGTTCTCATAGACTTAAATCATATCCACAGTGACACATTTTCCCTGTGAAAAAGCTCAGGATACCCCGATGACCCTGGCTGTCTCCTCAGGGACCAGTGTTTGTAATTCAAACCCCCCAGGTCCCCTGCCCATTTGGGGAGTTCTATGTGGACAACCATTCCTTCCGAGCAGTCAGATTCCTTCCCATCACAGTCTCTGACATCCCCTGGAACCCTTGGGCTCTCAGGCGCCCCTTTCAGGCCCCTATTACCCACCTTCTGGGTTCCTGAATTCTTAATTGCTGTTTGTCATTCTCCCTCTCTCCCTCCCTTGTCTGTCCCCCTCGACCTTTCCCTGAGACTTGTGGCACCAACGTGAAGCCAGGCAGCAGTGGCAGGAGCGTCAGATGTTCTGCCTGGGTGTTGCCTCTGCTGGACTTTGGGGCTGAGCAGCCAAGAGCCCCCAGGAAGAGGTTCCCTGCCTGCTGGGGCTGGGGCACTTGCCCTTCCCTTCTTCCTAGGGCTTGCGAATAGCCATGGCCTCACTGGGGAGCACCTCTTTAGATACCTCCTGGCCATTGAGTTGCAGCTGGAACCTCACTGGCTCTTTCTGCCTCCCTTTATGGCCTCCCATCTGGACCCCTGAGGCCCACCTCTGTTTACCGAGATTCTGTTTGAGGAGCCCACATATATTTCCCTGTGACAGTCAATGGCACCTGACTGTGTGGTGATGGGGAGAGATGACCCAGGTCTCAGTCTGCCTGTGGGACTCAGCTCTGCCACCCCACAGCCTGGCCCAGGCAGGGTCCAGCAAGAGATGAGGGGTTAAAGGTCTCAGCACACAATTCTTCCTTTGCCTTCCCCTCCCTCTTTTTCTTCCTTTGTTCCCCCCCCCCCCGCCCCTTTCTCCCTTCGGCTCCCTCTCTTCTTCCCTCCTTTCCCTCCCTTCTGGGACAGATATAAAGTACCCTATTTGTGCCCAATGCAGTGTGGGTACAAAGGAGTTTACCCCGTAGTCCCTGCCACCCAGAAGCAACTACACACCCTTTGGCCTAGACCACACTATTTGGAACCAAGAGTGGCCAGGTGAGGAAAAGGAGGATAAGGAAAAGGAGAGTCCAACTGAAGAAGTCCTGCTCCTCCACCAGGAAGCTGGGCATCTGCCAGGGTCTAGGCGGGTGGGAGGACTGGGGAGGTGGCCGAGGGCTCACCTGGGGCATGGGCAGCTGGGAGAGGCTGAGCCCCTGAGTTCCCTCCAGGGACTGCTCTGCCTTTGCTGCCTCTGGAGGAGCACAGGCTCTCGGCACTGTCACCTGCCCCTGCCCTCAGCATCACCTTTGATAAGGCCCTGGGACACAGGGTGCTTGGGCCCAGCTTGGCTCTGAGTGACATTGGGACACCAAATGTGCCAGCCCAGGTCTCTTCCTTTTACAAAGCCCGTCCCACCTGCGTGGAGACTGGCCTGATGATCTCACTAATCCTACTAACCTCCAGACACCATGCACATGTTTACTGGGGGATTACGTTTCCAACCCACAAACTGGGAGCTCATTCAAACCATAGCGCCCCCCTATGGCTCAGCTGCATTTAACTGGGGCCCGAGGGCTTAATCAAAGGAGTAGCCTGGCGACAGGGACAGGCCACCAGGCAGAGCTCCAGAAGGCTGGGGCAAAGGTTGGGGCTGTCAGGCTGTGGACAGATGTCTGCTCTGGCCTCTGTGGAGCTTGTGGTCTCCAGTATGACCGATGGCAGATTGAGTGTCCCACGAAGGACTGCTGCCTTAGAGAGGCTGGGCCACCCTCCTTCAGGACCCCTCCTGGAGAAGCTGAGCTCATTGTCTGAGGGGCTGGCCTCCAGATCTGAGTTAAGAACAGGACTGAGCGTGCGTGACTTGGTTCCCTCCCCAGGCCCCAGCTGCACCCTTCTGCCCATCTCAGCCTTTCTGGTGAAGGGGAGACCCACACCCTTGAGCAGGAAAGCCTCCCTTTCTGGGCTCACAGGACAGAGTTTGGAAGCCCCGACATGGTAGAGAGGCCCATGTCCCAGGTCACCCACAGAGGGCAGAGAGACAGGAGGAGTGGAAGGCTCCAGAGATAAAGCAGTTAAGCACCTGGCGCTGGGCCATGTTTCCGCTGCTCCTGTTTTAAAGCAGCAGCTCCTGGGAGCTCTAAGGATGAGGGAGGTGGGAAGGGAAGAGGAAGAGAAAGAAAAGGAGAAGGAGTTGGGGGAAAGAGGAGGAGGAGGGGCAAACCTGTACTTCCACACCTGGGCTAGAAGAGCCCTGGCAGACCTGTGGCATAGGAGAGGACCAGTGTCCCCAGTCTAGGGGGACCCCCTCGCAGCAGTTTTTAGCCATTGAGTAACAACAGCTACTACTAAAATTGGTGCTGTCCTTAGAGCCTTGCCTATGAATGGCCATGAAGTCCCTGCCCTTGAGTTGCTCGCAGGTTCCAGGGTTGAGGACAGGACAAATAGTAATGTACTGAGGTGAGGGCTGAACCCCGGGCCAGCAAGATGGTGTTGAGCAGGTGCAGCTCAGTGACATCTGTGTCTTCCGTCTTCCCTGCTGCTTTCTGGAGAGGGAACACTTTTTGAGGGGATGGCAGGTACAAGGCTGCCTGACCCTCTGCAAGACTGTAGTGTTCAGGCTCCTGTTGCTTCAGGGCTGGGACAGGCTTAGGTGCTGAACCTAAGTTCTGGGTGGGTAGGGATTGGTGTGGGCCGACAGTGCCCGAGGGGCCTCTTGCTGTGTGGACAGCTGAGCCTGGGCAGCACTCAGGAGTACCTACCCCTCTCTCGTCCCCAGAGCCACTGCTGTTTGAGGCAGAGCCTTGGCCATGTGGCATTCACCAAGGGGCACCATCCTGGCTTTGTCCCCACCTCTCATGCACACAGTTGCCACTGCTGGGGCCTGGGCCTCTGGAAGGTGAGAGGTCTCCCCTTGGCCCCTCTTGTGCTGTGTCCCTTCTCTCCTCCGAGCTCATTTCACATGGATGTGAAGGCCATTCGTAGAGACCACTGAG